GCACATGTCAGGACAACTTGGTGTTAGTTTCTTATTCCTACTGATTCGTGTTGTTTATGTAAAATGGTCTCCCAAGGATGCAGATAATTGGTTCTTTGAAGAGAATGAGGCTGCATTGTCTGCTTCTGTTACTGATTCTGAAATAGTCTCTTTTCTGATTCAGAGACGCCAAAAAATGAAACCATCCTATATTTCACATGGGACTTTTAGTCCCTCTTTTCAATTAAAAATATGATGTACATCACCATAGCAACACCTATGGACTTTCCCTCCATGTCTTTTGAGCAGAACTGGAGACTCTAGAGGCTAGGATCCAGGAAGGTCAGTGCTGCTACTTCACCTTCAGAGGGAACAGCAAGCATGGCAATTTGAAAGGCTTCTCATCATTCTTTCTTATTATTCCCCAAGACAGCTATTTCATCATTTTCTCTTGGAATAAACCTCAAATATGTCCACGTTGTTAGTGTGTACAACCATGCACAATATACACACACATATCTATGTGTGTATATGCACGTGTACTCAATATATATATTCCTCATTAGACTTGTGGCTTTTCTGAACAGAAATTGGATGCTGTGTGCTCAGAGCCCAGCACACAGTAAGAGTACAATAGCGATGGAAAGAGGAAAAAAATGAATCAGAGATTGGGTCATAGATGCCCTGTGAAGTGGCTAGTACAGCTTTTAGGGAGCTACTTTATCCCTCAGGAATGAAAAACTCAAAAGAGGTTTTGAAGATGAGATTGTCCAGTTTCTCCCAAGTAAGAAAACTTTTTTTTCTTGTCTAGTCTCACTACTGGAACTTAAACCACAAACACGATTCTTTCCCAATATTATCTTTTGTTTCATCTTACAAATAACCTACTTTATACTAGATATTAATCTAAGCACTTAAAATTATTATCAAGCTAAGGAGCTTGATTAGTAAAAACAGTTAATCCTCACCTTAAAAAAAGGAAGACATAGCCGGGCGTTGGTGGCACACGCCTTTAATCCCAGCACTCGGGAGGCAGAGGCAGGCGGATCTCTGTGAGTTCGAGACTACAGAGCTACAAGAGCTACAAGAGCTAGTTCCAGGACAGCCTCCAAAGCCACAGAGAAACCCTGTCTCGAAAAATAAAAAAAAAAGGAAGACATTTGATTCCCTGAATATGCTCATTCATCACAACCCCCAATAAGGCATCCAGGAATTCTTCATGTAGGACACTAATAATTTTTACAAAAAAATGCAGTTACAAATGGCATCTTACAGCCAAACAGTTTTATGAAACAAAGCAAATGATTACCATCAATTATAATAACCTCACTAGACAAGGCTACAGTTAATATACAGCTCTTCAGATAGCGACCACTGCAGTGTGCCGAGGAAAACGCCTTGTATTAATTGACTCATCATGATCAGCAATGATAGATGGGGTAAGATGGTAATGCAATTACTCACTGTCAACAAAATAAACGCATACTCTGTTGCAAGAAGTGTCTACTTGGGTCCTCTCAAAGGACAGCCAGAAATAGAGACTGAAGGAGGCTTTGAAGGCAGTACAAAAGAAATAGGAAAAGCTAAGCTACCGGGTAATAGATATTTGCCTTTCCCAAGGCCAACTGGAATTTAACTGAAAGAAGTTTCTGGAAGAAAGTTATGGACTCTGTAGAGTTCAGTAATTAGGAGGTACATTAAAGCTAATAGTTCCCCCATTGGTTAATATGTGTTTAGGGCTTAATAAATCAAACAATGGGAATTCACTGTTTTCAGAAGCAAACTCATTTCATTGATAGATAGCTCCCATTGTTAGAACATGTATCAAGCTGAATGCCTTCTGCTTGCAGCCCCCACTATTGGCCCTTCATGTGGCATAGGTGCTCAACTCTTCTTGTTCACTAGGGTAGGATAATAACTCAAAACCCAACTGTGTGCACAGTGATCCTCATATAACATTATTTTAGAGCCTCTAAAATGCTGGTTTCTAGCATTGAAACCATACCAGCTTATAGAGCATGCAAACTGAGGGGCTTGGGGAGAAATGTGATGGCAATAGTGTAATCTGCCCAGGGTGAGATATAGCTGTACTTATGCTGAGGCTGCACTGAAGGTGAGAGAGAGGGAGGGATGGAGGAAGAGAGAGAGAGAGAGAGAGAGAGAGAGAGAGAGAGAGAGAGAGAGACAGAGACAGAGACAGAGACACAGAGACACAGAGAGACAGAGTCAGACAGAGGCAGTGTGTGTTCCCATTGCTTGAGAAACTTCCCCAAATCTCAGTATGTAGTACACCAGCTTGCCATTTCCAAGCCACAATTAATATTAGATCTTCCTCTTCCCCTTCTTCACAGGAAGGAGATGTTAAGTTTTCTCTGTTTGGAAAAGTGGGACTTCTTGGGCAGAACATTTCCTGTAACTGGCATGGTCGTTGCTAACCAGTATGTCCTGGGAACTTTTACAAATATACAGACTCAGAGCACACTGCCAGAGATACAAGTTCATCTGGTCTGGGGAAGGACTGGAGCATCAGATTGGACAGTGCCTTCCACCCTTGTTACTTCTGACTTGCTGCATTGTTTAGATGTCCTCATTAATGACCATTCAAGAACAGTTAACACCCTGCCATAACCAGGTGAACCTGGGAACTTTTTTTTTTCCCTGAGACAAGTTATTGCTATATAGCTCAGGCTAACTTCAAACTTTAGGTCGTTCTGTCTCTGCCTCCCTTGTATCACAGACATTCCTCACCATGTCTGTCTTTCTGGGAACTTTTCAATGTAGATTCTTTGAAGCATCTAGTCCCTGTGATTTGTAATAGGTCTTGGAAAATTAATATGCTCAGAGGTTATTATGTATCCATTAAGACGCACTCAAAATTACAAGTTGTTCATGTCCACGTTACAAATAACTCTACTTAAACACTGAAGTAACAGAAGGAACGATGTAAAGATTTTAACCTAGTAACCGTCTGTGATTTTTAATCACCCATTTAAACAGCATTTCTACTATGAAACAGTGTTGTGGTAAGTACTGAAATATGACAGTACAGAGGGAGAAAAATAAAAGAGAAATAATGACCAATGAGCAAGTAAGTCAACAGATAAAGTAACAACAAACTTTAAAATAACACATATCACCACAAGGAAGAGTTTAATCTGTCTTTAAACATTTCCTACTTGAGACTGACCTACCCCAGTGCCTCTGAACTGTGAGGTTTGGCCTTGCTTTGCTTGCATTCCCTGCCATGCTCTAGTTGAGTACCTGCAGCTCTGGAGAGAAGTTTTCTGTTACTTGGTTACTTTTAGCAGACATCTTTAATCAATCCTAGCACATTTCCCCCTGCAGATTTGGAGAGAATCCCACACTGATTCTGAAGTCCATTGTCTATGCAGCCATTACTAATAGATGACAGATAAAGTACCGAGTGATATCTATCTGCAGTGTCTCAAACACATAGTGCCCTGACATGCCTGGAGGCCCTTTCTCATCCGATCCCCCATTTCATGCTTTATCTTTTCTTTAAAGTCCATCAATTGAGCACGCCTTACATCTGGGATCCCACTAAAATTTTAAGGTATCTTTGAGAGGTGTCTAAATTGTGCCTTAGAAGGATCATGTGACATCCCAAGAGAACATGGTGTGTATCAAAGCAGGGGCTACAAATGAAGGCCCTTTGACTCCAAAGCTGATATTTTCAAATTATTCTTCATTGCTTCTCTCCAAGCCCAGTTCAAAGGGCACCTCCCCTGTGAAGCTTCCCCTGACCCCTCCAAGTAAAATGTGTCGTGTCTTTCTTTGAGGCTGCCAGGGCCTTTTACCTCTCCATTTCAGCATGACATTATACTTCAATGATTTGAATATAGACCCTTTTGAACTTCTTTGGGGAAAGAACTCTTTTCTTCTTTTTCATTTTTAAATTCATGTGTCCCGAGTAACTAGTAGGCTCCCCAAGATGACTCTCAGTCTATGTATTTTGAATGCACATCAAAACCTGGCTTACAAATTTCTTCAGCTTGTGGTCTATTTGATGGTATATAGCCTTAACACACATTAAAAAAAACAATTCTAGGTTTTAATCATGACCTTAAATAACAAAATAAAAAGATCATATAAAATGTACACTCTTGTAATTTTAAACTTTATTTTTTTAACATCATTTAATGTGACTCTTACTAGGAACCTGCTTACGGGTTACTTATTGTATTAGGGCCCCTGAGCTTTAAGTTCTAATTGTTCCTAAGTGTAAGGAGCAAAATAGGTCAAGTATCACATCATAGATTATATCTGGCTAAACCATAACTCTTATCTCATCTGAAACTGTGGTTCTTTGCATTACTTGGATTTATTTTTGTATAGACTGATGGTAGCACATGGCGACAGTCACCATCAATGGTGTGACAGAATGGAATTTCCATTCTGCAAAATTTCAGGCAAACTCCTCAGTTCCTTGACACTGATTTCACAGTGCATTGCATTGCATGTGTAGGCAAGGGAAGCTGTGTTGTCTACAGAATGCACGGGAGGCCAATGGCCCAGAGAGGTAAAAATGGAGAGGCACAGAAAAGGTGAGGGCTTGAGGTTAAACAATTCTCTAGTGGCGTCCAACCTGTGGGTCATGACCCCACATAGGGGTCTCCTATCAGATATCTACATTATGATTCATAACAGTAGTAAAATTATACTTAAGAAGTAGCAACAAAAATAATGTTATGGTCGGAAGTCACTACAACATGAGGAACTGTATTAAAGGGCCTCACCACTAGGACAGTTGAGAACCACTGCTCTTGGACATGTCAGGGTGTGAGTCCCAAAAAACCTGTGTTAGTGTTTAAGAAGGAAATACTGTGTCATTGTAGCCTCTCCTGGAAACCTGCAAAAGACATATGGAGAAAGGAGGCAGGCTCTTCTCTTTTCAGAGAGCCAAGGGAAGCCTTCCCATCTGTGATTCTACTTCAGATTGAAACAGGCACTGAATCTTACAAGTTGGCACTAACCCTTATTACTTTGGTGGATTCACATACCTCCCCAGAGAAGGCCTGTCCATTGAGGAGGTGCTCTGATCCTTGGCTGTCCTCACTCCCAAAGTGTAGCCGGATCTCCTCCAGGCGGTGGCTGTATGTCATGGGCCCTCCTGAAATGTTGACCAAGTGCTCCTTGTCCAGGCGGAGGGATACATGCCTTCCAGTGTTGTACATGGTCCCACTGACCTACAAAGCAATGGGTAACAGGTCAGACAGGGTTTTTCCTTCCATTTCCCCCCAAGCCCAGGAAGCAGCAAGGTAGTCTTATGCCATATATGTTTTATGATGGTAACACATCAGGAAAAATTCACGTGTGTGGAAGGGCATGACAGCTTCTTCACACCCAGCTTCTAAAGTATTTCTGGTGAGGCATAAGTCAGGAACTTGAAGGGAGGAACTTAACAGGTTTTTCACCAACTGTGATGACTATTTTGTATATTGCATTTTACAAAAATTAGTTTGTCCCTCTTATCGTAGTTGTCTGGAAGGTAGAGATGGTATAAAAGTTCAAAATCTTGGGTGAAAGAAACCAGAGAAAACAATGAGCAGAGAGTTTAAGGGATTCAAGTGAGAGGTGAGGAAGCCACTGTGGGTGATCAGGTGAAAGCCTCAGTGGGAGACTGATACATTTTGAAGTCTCAAACACCCTGTCCAGCCGTCTTGGTTAGATCCCTCTCCCATCCGGGTAGACACAGAAAGAGATCTGGTCCTCACTCAGAGAATGCAGCTTCTGGGCTATCTGAAGCCAGTCATATGGGGTCCCATTTCTCACATCCAAACCTTATTTCTCATTCCCAGTCCCATCTTGCTTCAGTGCCTCCCACTACTTGCCTTTTTCTTTGCATCAGTTTTCTGGGCTCTACAAATGACCTTGTGTCATTCCCATCTGGGAGTCTCCCTTCCTTCCCTGGCTTAGCTTAGGGAACTTAGGGGTGACTTTTGAAGGAAACTTGATGGTTTGCTTCTGGGTTTTCAGATGCTGAATTACTAGGATTTTCATCCTTAACTCTGACCCTTTAAGTATGTAGTTTTCTCTCAGCAATTCCTTAGAGACTTCCTGAAACTTCCATCTGTCTGTCTATCTGCCAGTCAATCCATCATCAACCTATCTATCATCTATCAATCATCTATCACCTAATGTTTGGCTGTCTATCTGTCTCCTCAATGCGAGAGTGTCTTTTTATGTAGCTCAAGCTGGTCTCAAACTGCTAATCCTCAGACCTTAAATTCTGGGACTATAACTGTGCACCACTCTGCCTGGTACAATGAAATGTCTGATGATGTAATTAGATCTGGTTTTTGAATATTTGCCAAGGGACCTGCCCTTCTACCTTTCTGATCCAAGTCTTGTGAGATATTGGTTTAGTTCTTAGATTGCTCACTATGTCAGACAGTGGCTTTCACCATTACTCCATTAACTAGTTGTTACTGAAAGGCAGGGTCCATATGGGGGCAGGCAGCCAAAGGGAAGAGGGAGTGAGAGAAAGCCAGAGTGAGAGAGTAGACAAACAGGCAAGAATCTCCAAAACTCTACATTCCTTTGTAGCCCTTCACTCAAGTTCCTCCAGGGCACCTGAACTGCATTTATCAGAGACTTTACATCTTATTCGCAATTATCTTTATTTTTTTTTTAAGTTTACTGTTCCTTGTAACCAAGTGTGTTATTTCTTTTCTCCAGTCTCAAGCACATGTATGCCAGTTCCTATGACAAAAGGAGAATATGTCTCTTTCAGGCTCTAGTTCAGGACTTTGTATGTAACGGTTTCTCCCAGTGTTTCAGAAACACACTGCTAAAAAGCAAACGTAAGAATTGGGGTCTTTGGTGTCAAAAGATTCCCAAACCACTCCTTGTCAGCTATGCAACTTTGGAAGACTTACTTAATTCTGTGAAACTTCGGTTCCATAACCATACAATTGATAACACAGATTCCCTCATGGGAATGAGGGGTGAGAAATAAAACAAGCAAAACAAAACTATAAGCTATCTTCAAAAGAAATAGTCAAGTGACAGATTAGTAGTTGCTTTAACTATAAAGGTGTCTAAAGCAGTCTAAACTGCAGGGACAACAAGTGGAATAGAGATGGGAGGGGCTGGCATCAGGAAGGAAAGGGAAGTTGGTGTTTAATGGACATCAAGTTTCAGTTTTGCAAGAGAAGACAAGACTTCTGGTAGTGGATGGGGTGAAGGGTTCCCAGTGATAAGGATGTATTGAATACTTTTGAACTTAAAATGATCACAATGTCAAAGTTTAAGTTATGTAATTTCATTTATGATAAAAATGAAAAAGAAATCCCCTGTGAAGTAATTAATAAACAAATGTGGGCCAGTGGTGGCGCACAACTTTAATCCCAGCACTCGGGAGGCAGGTGGATCTCTGTGAGTTCGAGGCCAGCCTGGTCTCCAGAGCAGTTCCAGGACAGGTGCCAAAGCTACACAGAGAAACCCTGTCTCGAACCACCCCCTCCCCCAAAAAAAAAACAAGCAAACAAGCAAATAAATAATATTTGCATTGGTCCACCATATTTATTCTCTTCCTTTCTCTTTTGGCTGGTGCATGCATGTCTCACTCCATCTCCCTTCCACCCATTTCTTCTCTTTCCCGAACCTGCTGGCTCATCATGGTACCTGTGAAACATCACTCAGTTGCTGCTCTTAGATGATCTACCTGTCTCTCGTTTTGGACTTTACTGTGCTAGATATGGGGAACAGACAACACATTTTGAAAGCTAAAAAGCAAAACAAAACTGGGACAACCAAAAGATAAATCATTTTGCCTTTTGGCTGTCTATTTCCCCCCAGGTTCCCTTCCATACCCAGGGTTGTATCTTCATTAACTAATACATTCATTTTCATCCACTCCTTCATTCATCAGCAAGTCATTCGTCCAGGTTCAGAAATGGTTACCGATCGCTGACTGTGCTAGGAACTTGGGATACTATGAGGAGCATGCGTGGTCTTTGTCTTCACAGAACTCATACTTCCTTATGCAAGCTCCCAGTGTGCAGGCAGCTGGGGGAATATAGAACACGCACCATTATGTTGTTACAATTAGATGCAACATCTCCTTATCTATACCCTTTCCCTAGACAATGAAATAACATTAATTTGTATTAATCATAAAAATATGTGTAGCCAGGGTATGGTTTGTTGCACTTTAATTTAAAAATAAAGGCTTGACAATGTTATGTATGATATCTGAATCTAACAGTACATCTGCACCGTAGTAATTAACACTGCACCAGCATCGTCATTTTATCTGTAATGCAAATTACTGTGTTTCCAATGAATGACTTTAGTGTACAGGATGTTGGGAAAAGTTTGCTTATGGAGACCGGGAAACAGGTGAGTGGAGAAGCTGCAGCAGCAGGGGTTGCCCCTGGCTGTCCCATACCTCTCTAGCCTTTGTCTGATTTCAAGAAGTGCATGGTGTGTGTGTGTGTGTGTGTGTGTGTGTGTGTGTGTGTGTGTGTGTCCAGAATCATTGCGAAGCAGGCAGGAGGCAAACTAAGGACCAGTTATCATGATGTGAGCAAAAGCAACAAACAGTCTCTGCCCATTTCAGATGAAAGTTGGGTGTGGGGTGTCATTTCTTCTGCACTCTGTAGATAAGATCTTAGGCAGTTCTAGGGGTGTGGGTGTGATGGGTATTAGGATTGTATTTTAGCAACATGGAGGACTCAGATAGGATGCTAGGCTGCTGTCCACCTTAGGATGAAGACAGAAGACCTTGTTTCCCTAGCTACAGACATTTATATTGATTTAAGACTAGAAGGAGCTACAAGTATTAAAGGAAGCAGGACATAGATGTCTGTTGAGATGGTATGCCAATAAATAATATTAATAACTTGCTTACACTGATCATGTGAGGAATGGTAATTTATCCTTTATCCTTAGATGAAGAGCCTTAAAGACTGCACTGAAAGTTTCTCTATGGGAGCCGGGCGGCACAAATCTTTAATCCCAGCACTTGGGAGGCAGAAGCAGGTAGACCTCTAACTTCTAGATCATCCTGGACTGTAGAGTGAGTTCCAGGACAGCCAGGGCTACATGGAGAAACCCTGTCTTGAAAACCAAAACAAAACAAAAAAGTTTCCTCATGAGAAACCCAAGAGCCAGAGTTGTCTTCCAGGATATTGGGATACCATGGTCCATAGCTCTGAAAGTGAGTAATAGGGTCATTAGGAAGAGTTGGTGAAATTATGTGGTTTATATGTGGCATCCAGGCTTAGGAATCAACTCAAATAAAATGTAACATTAACTCAGAGATGTCAGAATGTGTTTAATTTGTCCAAGCTTGGGATGGACACCTTTGGGGGATTTCTAGATCTAGGGAAGCAGAATTTTAGTTCCCACTCTCTGAGAGCTGAGAAATGGGTAGTATGTGTCCAGTGTAGGCTCACCAACCAAACGTCTGATCCCATAATTAGGAAGGCCACTTGGTGCCAAGAACAGTTAGTGAAGAGTGGCCGACAGCCTGTCATAAATTAGGTGTCTTTTCTTTGCAACTCAGCTTTCCCATTACACATCTTTGACTGGTCTGCTGAAGTGTGTAATAGTTCTTTGCAATGTAATTAGTGAGCGTAAGAGGTTTAAGAACACTGCTTAGCCTGGTTTCCTACAGAGTCCTGATACACCAAGGGGCTGATTTGTGAAGGCTGAATGCAAAAAGCTGGGGGGCTGTTTGTTCACATGGTACAGGTGGGGCACGGTTCAAGGAAGAACAGGGTGGAAGAATCAACTGAACTCCAGTCGTGAACAACACTGCAACCGAGTGAAGACACAGGTGGGTAAAATGAGGGCCAAATGGAGTCTTGTGTTAAAATAACGTCAGGAATAATCAAACCCAATAAGCCAGAAAACTGAGACAGATCCCAAACTAGACGTCACCCCCACTGACTTTTTCATTGATCTGACAGGCCCATCTCTCGAGAGTCTTCTTTAAATCCATTTTTTCAAAATCAGTATACAAAGAATTAGGCCTCATTACAGCAGTTTTCAAACAAAATTCACTTATTTTGTTATCTCTCTTCCCTGGTTCCTTCCCTATGCCCATCCCCCACAGCCTTCTTTCCACTTGAATGTTACTGTGATCTTTTGTTCCCTGACCCCACACCTTTCTGGATACCTCTTTTCCCTTCTTTTGATCTCCTACCTTGTTTCATGATCTAAACTCACACCCTTTAAG